CATGATGAAGAAGTATGGAGTGCAGTAGAACTGATTATCAGTTTCATATATAGGCTGGGAAAGATGAATACAAAATAAACCAAAGCATACATGCCTGCCTGACAAGCTAGCACAAGGCCATATCAACACAGTATGATCATGTAACTGTGCATGGAGATAGCAAATAGAAAATGTGTTTGTTTTCTTCCTTTCAATAGTCTTAAATGCATAGAGTTGGAGATTTGAAGTTATGTATGTTGGTAAATGTCCTCTTTTTTATTTCTGTGAACCTAATTGTTAAGATGACTGTTTGACATATAGGGGAAAGTCCTTGTTTTCTGACTGATATGCAGCTTGAATTACTCAGCTAAAGGAAATCAAAGTTCATACTATTCTAGGTTAGATGGGTAAACATCTTTTAATTAAACTGTTCCTAACTGAATGCTTTGAAATAATAGAGAAGAAAAAGATAAATATTAAGGAGAAATGGAAGAAAAATACTGAGTCGATTCAGAAAGATGAAAAATGAGAAAAAGAAATGTCCCATGTATTGGAAAAGCAGTGCTTTGCATCCATAAGGGGTTCCCAGGCAAGTAGCTCAGGGGTCTCTGCGGCTTTGCTGTGGTCAACAAATGCATCCAATTAAGCCACGCCAGGAAAGTAGGGACTGGGCTGTAAATGTGGCACGACAGTTGAAACCGAATAACCTCGCTAATAGGGGCTATTGTTCAGCGTGGAAGTTCCCATTTTCCAATCAGGAAAATACAGCCCTCTCTCAGCTCTAGCCGACTGATCCCTTCCCACCTACGGCTCAACAATCTGCCACCAGCGAGGGGCTTTTATTACGTCCCTTCCCAGGAAATGTTAGGCAACTTCTTACTAAAGCCGGGATGGGCCGTGGAGGGGGGAGGTGGGATGCTCAGGAATCCACAGGTCCACGCCTGGCCAGGTTTTCTTTTCAACAGGAAAGAAACTTTGACCACAGAATTCCCCGCTGTCCCTCCCCCACCCCCACCTGGCTCAGCCCTCTTCTCCCGCCGCAGCTAGCGGCGCTCAGCTCTGGAGCTGGGCTACTTCACGGTTTATTTAGTAGCCAGCGCGTTCCCGCGCCCGGTGCCCGCATCCGGGCGAGGGCGAAGGGGCCGCCTTCCCATCTTGGGAGAGATGCCTGCCAGGGTCTCACCGCTGGCACCGCGCTCGCTTTCTTGCAGCGGACCCAGGCCGCTCAGCTCGAAGCTTGGGAGTCCCTGCCAATGCTTGGACCAGATGCTAGCAGCCGGCTTATCCGTACCCAGCAGAGGTACGCGCTGCAGCGTCCAAGCATCTCCGTCAGACTTCCCGTCATTCATTCATTCCTTCTTTCCTTTTTTTTTTTTCTTTTCCGCAGTGGATGTGCCTGACCACACTTACATTCAAAACTATATTTGTTGTAAATGCGTTGCCAGACCGTTGAAAGCCTGGATAACTTAGATGTTTTCGACTATAAATCCCTAATTGTATTTAATGATCACAAATAGCTTTATTTGCGTATCTCTGTATTTACACATTTTAATCTATAAGCCAAACAGCATAGGCATCACTCCCTAGCCCCCATCCCCCAAGAAAAAGCAGAGGTCGAAGCCTCTAATTTGCTTTTAAGACCTTCTGTTTCTTTGGTTGTGAGAGAGCATAAGAGCTCCAGATCACAGCGTTGATTACATCTTCAAACCCGCCTGCAAAAAAAAAAAAAAAAAAAAAAAAACAACCCACAACCCCCCCCCATCTAAGGAGATGTTGATGCATATTGTAGCTGCAAGGTGTTAGATATACTTGAGCAAGTTGTTCCCAGGATGTAAATTAGGTCCCAAAAGCTGTTGTCCAAATCGAAGAAACAGAGAAATTAATCTGGGAGACTATCCATCATCACTGGTAATAAAGAGAGAGACATGGATGAGACAGATGATATGATTAAGGGGCTGTGGTCGTTTTAATTAACTTTTTGCTGTCCTGTAATGATGAAACTGGTCACCAGACCCGGTCAATAAGCATGTTAATATCAAACAAATAAAACCAGGGATGATTAAAAACCTCCTGGTTTATTAAATTTGAAATTCAAATGAAATTTATGCTGCAGATGCATACAGAATGCTAATAGATTTTAGCTTTATTGATAGTGGATCCCACAGGTTTGCAAGAAAATAGCACAATATCCATCTATCCCTCTCCCTACCAGCACATTGAACTTCTTATTGAGTGGAGGAAACTTTTAATTGATGTTAGGAAACCTTGACTTCCTGTTTTGCTTCCCCTTTCTCTCCAAACATCTCTATTGTTACAATACTGCAAATCAGTGGTCAGTAACCTGACAGGTAAACTGAAATCTACCCTGAATTACTTAACCAGGATGGCTGTGTCTGCCTGGGTTACAGTTCTTCCTTCTGGGGACAGGATTTAAGCATGCTGGGGTCGGTCACTTCTCCAAAGTAGAGAACAAATTGCCATTAAGCTTTAGGCTGGTTTAAACCAGAAGCAAGGTCGTGAGTGTTAGACATAAACACTTCTGTGGGAAGGGCAGAAATGAAGTAGTATAAGGGGGCAAAGAAGCTCTTTGCCAATGCTACTTTGAACTACCCCCTCACTTTTATGATGGGAGTAAATAGAATGTATACACACACACACACACACACACACACACACACACACATATATATGTGTACTGTACATCAGTGACACACTAATATTTATTTTACTGAAGCTGCACATCCAAACCTTTGAAAACCCCTAAAAGCTGCAAGCCAGTCTTATGCAAATGAAAGCATCCAGTACTTTCATTAAACCCACACTAACATTGTGACTCCTTGTCATAGAAAGAGTGACACGTGGCTCTAAAGAGTATTTATACAAATGAAAACTCTGGGAGTTAGGTAGCTCAGAATCACAGTCACATGATGCTGAGTTTTTTAATTCCTGGCATTTTTGAGGAAACAGTGGTTAACGCCTCTGTTTACTCTCAAGATCAGCATTTAACTTTTTAATAGTCCTGCCTCTTTTCCCTCCAAAAGATAGGCGGATAAAAAGATAAAATAACTATTCACAGAAAGGAGCTTTTCCCTCCACCTTTGAGGATGATGGTATTGATTAAAGTTAAACCCCAAATTTTAACAACTGTATATTAGGTCTTTAAAATGAATATCATTATAGAAGGAGACCAAAGCACTGAAGTTAATTCTCTTTTATTTGTTAAACGGAGTTCCCTCCTTCCCCCACCCCTTCCTCCTTCTGGGCTGGCCTGTCACGCCTTCTCAACACGCTAAAATCATTCAGAGCGGCTTGCTGGGAGAAACACGACATTTATGGTAAGCGTCAGCCTTCAGAGAAAGAAAGCAGTTCATTAATTTACTTCACACTTACTTCAAAGTATGTGAATTTACCTTATCCCCTAATCAATAGATATGATGTGCAGTCAATATCCATTCACACGAAAAATGATTCAAAATTCAAACTCTTGCACCACAAACACCATGCTCAACTATGCTCAGTGAAATTTACACAGGTTGACTTTGAACCTGAGCAAACCCCTGGAGGATTTCTTCTCTCTCTCTTTTTTTTTAACCTCTTCAGAAGCTGCAATACACTTGAGGGCAAAAAAGAAAAAAAAAAAAAAAAAAAAAAAAAAAAAGCCACCCAAGTCAAAACAGACCAGCTCTCTAATCTGCTTAATTTTAATCAATTCCACCTTAAAACGAGACTTCCAGAGTCTTAACAGGTAAAATATGAATATTCAACAGAACTCCAAGAACTTTTTTGTTTTACTGTACTGGTGTTTGCCTTTTTGTGGTTTAAGAAGTTCTGTTGTGGTGGCAGGAAAATTGAAATGACATTTCTGAAGGGAATTAATAATAAAAATGGCAAGCAAGTGACCAAAGCCCATCGAATTTGAAGTGTGCATGGCCTGCCTAGACCACAGTGGCTTCCATAAATGTGGCCCAAGCTCTGTGAAAAGCTCGTCTCTGTTCTTACATAAATGGAACCCACGGATTTCGGTCACTGCTTTTTCAGTCAGAAAGGCGCAGTGGGGTTTCCTGTGAAAACTTCTAAATTGGGTAAAGTGCCCCTCGATTTCTCATCCAATGAAAGACAACCTCTTTTACTTCCTTCTCTATCTAATCCTTTTGTAAATTTACTGCTCGCCACGGGGCAAACACACCTCCTCCAGGGGGACTTCCAAAGCAGAATCTCACCTCGGGAACTGGGGGGCGAGGGGGGGGAGCTCGACCACATTAAAGTAAGGGAGGGCGCAGGCGCGCACAACTCACCACCTCACATCGCCCCCTCACCCCCCCCAAACCTCAACCTTCCAATCTATTTGGCTGAGGCGTTTGGAAGCTGAAGGTAAGAATCAAGATTTTCTTCAAAAATACAATGAGAGTCCAGGAGAGTCTAGGGGGTTAAGGCAGCCAGAGCAACAACCAATCACTCCATCTTTTAGGTCCTAGGAGTCAGAGGAAGTTGGTGACAGAGGCGGCGTTGGGGAATTTATTTGCCCGGCCTCCCGCAACTTCGCAGTTTCACTCTCCAGATCTCCATCTCTTACGCACGTACACTTTATTGTACTGTTCCTTCCCCACCCCCAGCTTTGGTGCGCGCGCACGCACACACCCCTCTTCTCTCTTGCTCGCGCTCACTGCTCAGTTCCCCTGCCCCCCTTTGTCGCTCACGCAGTCACACTGTCACCCCCGACACCCTCCCCCTTTCTGCCTG